AGGCGCCGACCCCCCTTGAATCCGCCGGGGAGCGGAGAGGGAGCTGGGCGGTGTTTGTGCACTGGCACGTCCCCCGGCAGCCGTGCTACCCTGGCTCTAAGCAGGCATTTGCCCACGCCATCAAGGCATCGAGCTGGCCTTGACATGGGCACCCGGCCAAAGAAGTGCCAGACTATCATCAATATCATCCAGCACTAGCAAACTAGCAGCCGAGTTGGTTTGCTCTCACTGCCAGTCCGAGGGTGGGTTGGTTGCCCAGTTGTGCGTCAGGGCCTTGACCCCCACCTAGATGCACGCACAACTCGCTGTCATGTTGCTTGCTACGATCAGACACGCATACAAGAGGGAAAGAGAGGAGAGAGAAACAGGAACAAAAAGAGAAAGAGAAGCGTCATCGTCGCGATTGACCTGCCTTGAGAACCAGGGAAGCCAATTCTGGTTCGTGGTAACTGGTGCGGCTCTTTTCTCTGTACCGGATCAAGAACGGTACACAGTACAACATACATACATACATGCATACATACACAGTTCAGACCATCAGGCCAACGAACCAAGGCTCGTCTACTCTACGACCACCACCCTCACTAAAGTAGGATGAACTGCATGCATGTCGGCTGCAAGGCCCAAGCAAGACACCTCACAGTCCAGTGTCCACCATGGCTTGGCCAATAGTCGTCCAGAAGTACACAAGACACTGCAAAGTGGCAGCCTGCTCTGCTCTCTGCTACTCTCTACACAGAACTAGTCGTATGATTGCTCCAGCACGCCAGCCAGTCACTTCTTTACTCGACACATCCAAGATTCCAGGCTCGCCCATCCCGTCCATCGCATGCGGCTCTCGCTCCAACCCGAGGCCCTGTAAGTAGACACCAAGTACATACGGCCAAGGTCCAGACAACCAGGGGTTCGAGTGTCGAGTGTCGAATGAGCGGCATCAACAGCCGCCGTTTGCGTCTTTCTTTGTCTTTTCCCAGGCCCCTGCGCATAGGGTAGCCTCGTCTGCATGGCTCTGGTTCAGCCCACTAAGCGTACGCCTCCGAGCACGGCGGCGTGCGCCCACGGGAACGCCGTATGCAGAGCGTCCTGCCCGAGTCCCCAGGCTCTGACAGCGAGGATTGGATCCTCGTTTCACTACACCCATTCCAGGTGGGGCTGCTTCAATTCCGCCAAGACCCATCTTTGGCTCACCAATTGTGGCAGGACGCAGTTCCATACTGTGTACATAATACAGTGCATGCTAGTAGAAGAGGGCTTCCGGTGCGTACCACTACAGCACACAAATAGGAGGAGTACTCGAGAGTCTGAAGACCGGTCTCTTCATGCAGGGGCACTGTGAAGTTGGTTAGGTGCTCGAGCCAGTCCAACGCTAGTCCCGTTTTAGTCGCCACACAACCTTGCCACCCACAAATAGGTCAGGATAGACGAAATGCGGAGAAGCGGCATGTCTGCACTATGTTGTAGTACCAGCAACGATCAGTCTGAGCAAAAAGTCTGAGCTTCAAGAGGATGCTAATGCACAACATAGACAGCAGATCGCAGCGCAATGGACGTCGACCTGATACCTGTGTACGGTACACAGTGCAATACTTTGACCACCACCGACCTTGGCCTGCAAACTCGATGGACTTTCCCGCAAGTCTCACAATCTTTCTGCCAGCCTTCCCTAGACTACTTACCGACCTATTTCTGGCGGTGCAACATGTTCCTGAATCCTCCGAGCCTGACGGACGGGCTGTTGACACGAGCGTCTCGTAACCCTCTACTGCCATCCAAGTGCTGACTCAACCCAACCTATAGAAACCATTTTCTATAACAACACTCGTCCTTCCCACGTCTGCCTCAAGTTTGTTCGCATCACAGAAGGAGGGTCTGAGAAGCGCAAAACCATGCATGTCTCAAACTGTCCTTCCTACTCTGCTCCCTTGGTGTAGATGCGATGTCGTTGACATACTCTTGACTTGGACTCGGCTTGGCTTACCATGTACACCTTCCGCTATGGTCACAAAGAAAGACTTCTATTTTACCTCGTCTCACCTCGTTTCTCCTTTCCGGTCCTACTGGCGACAGACCGTGGTGAGGCTGTGTTGCACATAGGCACATGATCGGGCCTTATCCTCGTGTACCCCCTTAGCCGTGTCCCAATTTTAACACCAAAGCTCCCACTTTCAATCAACACCGTGCAAACGCCGTATCCTGGGGGAGAGGCCGCGACGTCATCTCATCCCCATCTCCCGCACAGCACGCAGATCCTCGAGAGTCTGCTCGGTACGAATGCCCGATATAGCAAATCCTGCACATCATACGTACATCTTCATTTTTCTCGTTCCACTTAATCTTCGCATGCGTCGGTCGTTTCGGCAGCCACGGCATTATTGACAGGTAGACAATACGACAGCGATACTATAGTACAGAAAAAAATCCATCTCATGTCCAAATGTCCCACGGTACCGACGGCTTTGGCTTAGCGGTCCCAGTGGTGGACTGCAACGGCTGCACTTGTCACCAAGACGACGCGCTCGGCGAGCCGTAGCTTGCGCCATTCATCTTTGAACCAAATTACCTTGCCTTGCAACCGAATTGGCGGTGAGAACAAAGACCAGCAAAAACAAGACGAGTAACCGTGTGGGTAAATGTCTGCTGTCCATTTGGCTAGGTCCACCTGCGCGACGGGTTGCTGGACAACAGCCAAATCAAACATTGCGAATTGCTGGCGGAACGAGCGATAATCATCGGG